TGAGTCATGTGCATCTTGACGCGTTGGAGTGAACATTTTTGGTGGCAGCAAGATACGGCGTGAATATACGTGGATTGTAATGGAGATTCACTGTCTGTTGCCATTCCTTCGAAAGTTAAAATGTTTGAAGGGCCTGCGCGACTCCTGTCATTCCTCCGTGAGGAATTCGTTGTTAGGATGCAACTGACGCTAATTAGAAAGATTCGAAACTGCAATCTGCCTAAGAATCTTGACACAAATGGCAAGTTACACTCAACCGATGGCGAGATGACTAATTTCGATGTCAGTAATTATATTCCAAGACGCGGGTTATTCAACTGGGAATTGATCCTTGACATGCGAACGCATATTAGAGAGACAGAGACGGTGTTATAGACGAACTTTTTCCACGGAGAGTGAATACAGGATTTGTAAAAGGAGAAGCTCGACGCCTCCTGAGAACGAATGTCGCGCTCCACGTTTAGTAAAGACGTGCAGAGTTTCAAAATACCCTTCGAGAATAGAGGAACCTATATGAGGGTTTTGAGAAACGTATCTCTGGAGGTATCACTTCAGGAGAGAAATATACTCTGAAACAAATAAAATAGCGCACACACAGAAGAAAATATTGCCTTTTGTAACACAATCTCATCCGGCTTTACCAAACCTCAAGAACATACAGATGGAGAATTATGACACCTCAAAACTGACCCTTATCGAAAATGACATCGCAAAGGAAAGTCATCAAAATACATCCTTGTAAGAGCTAAACTTTGAGGGTAGAAGATTTAGGAGCGATAGCGAATGGTAGGAGACGCACAGGCCTATCAACACCTTTTAACGATGGACTGCTTTTTGCCTTCCGCTTTCCGGCGTATCGCCTCACGCAAGGTAGAGGTTTTTATGGATCAAGAGACTCTTTTCATTCCTCTAATTAAACTATCCTTCATTCGATGATCAAGATAGAAGATTTACCACACAAAATCCGCAATTATTTAATCTTCCTTCACTGAGGAAAGAAGAATTACAACACGATCGATAAATGCCATTGCAGTAGTAACGCTATGTAACGCAAGACATTAAATACAACAATGGGCCTTTCCGCTTCACAAAAGGGTCCTAAAAACTATCAATTAAAATGCATAGAACTTTTGTACCGTTGAACCGCGTTTGAGTGCATTTGGTCAGAGCTGTTGAAGAAGGATAAAAGTGGCCATGCAAATCTTTGAAAGGCTTCAAACTACGACATACAACGAATTTGACTTGCTCAAAAACCGGTCTCAAATTACATGCTAAAACACAGTGTTTGCGTTCGTCCTTGAGAACGATACACTAAGTGACAAATACACACGAAAAATAGTTCTGCGCGTTCAGAATATATCAAATTATATTTACCTATAATGAGAGGAAAAAGAAACGAACTAACTTTTATGGAATAGTCAGTGAAACTCGACCCATTTCTTCCTATTTTACCGCCATATTGAAAATAACGCTACCACAATGCAATGCAATCGGAGTGCGCAGACTGCCTGGAGCTAAGCTAAAGCTGTCAGGCTATCTGCCAACCATTTCCCAGACTTCTCTCTAGCTTTTTTTTTTCTTAATTGAAAGTGAAATTTCGGAACAAGCGAGTCGGAAAGTAGAAAAAGAAGAACCAAATAAAGGTTTGTAAACGTGCCAAGCCCAGTAATAAACGTGAGAAGAGACGAAAATCCTGCAAGAGAAAACGAAATAAACATGAAGTCCAAGTTTTGTAGATTTTCACGCTCACTTAGATTGCAAGCTTACACACGGCGATAAAAGTCAAGCGTAGCTAACGTATGGTACAAATCGTTTCGTGTTGGAAAAAAAAAATCAAGAAAAGAACAAAACAGACATGGTGGAAAATGTAATCAACTGGTATAACTGTAAAAATTTATAGAAATCATTAAGGTGTAAGAGCGACTGCGATCTTGCTGTGGTCTATCGAGGCCAGCTTATCATGGCGATCTCCCGTCAACGCAGCGCTGTCCTGTTGAGCAATCCTTAGAAATTATATCGTCCGCCCTTCGAGTGAAGAACTGAGAGCTGTGTCTGATATCCTTTCCGGTGCCTTGAGTGGAAGGCCACATCATTCACAGTGGCCGAGTTTTATGGCACCGTGTTTATGTTCCTGTGAATCCGGCTGTCGTTCATTCAATGAAACACTCGCCATGAGCAATTTGTTTTCTTTGAATTGTCATGTCAGAAAACTTGTGTGTTTTTATTGGCCATAATTCGGCCGGATTTCACAAAACATTTCACTTTCAGACTCTATTCTCACTCGCGTAAAAGCCGCTGTGTATCAAAATAGTAAATTGGATGACTGCATTCTCATGGTAGAAATGCTATTTGCCATATAAGTCTCTAGGGTAATTCTCAAGACTTTAATACGCCGTTGCACGCAAAATGTCTCCCTTATCCCTAGTCTAATGACGCCACAATCTCTGAAAATTTGCCTTCCCTCCTCCCTTCAGCGACACTGGTCAATTTTTCTTTCAACTCACCCTACGCCCTACACATAAATCCTTTCACCCATAACTTATCCAACGTTAAGGTATAGGGTAGCTTTTTATGCAAATGTGAATTATTTACTCTGTTAATAGGTAAAAAACCTTTAGGCAAACGTGTTTTATTCGACCTGCCGAACTATTGTATTTGTGAACTTTGATGGTTTGACAATTTTGACGGCTTTAGTCTTGAACAACCAATCAGGTTATTTAAACCATTCTAATAAGAATTCTGATTGGTTTACTGTACGTGCTTTATGAGAGTATAAAGCATGCTGACCATACTCGTTCGCTTTGGAAATAAGTTTGGTTTAAAAATTGAACGTAATGCGTTGGGAACCTACCGGATTCTTTTATATGAAACAAATAGAGAAGCCTTAACTGTGCTCTGTTATGTTTTAAAGCACTTAGGAAGCGGCTAGAGCACTCAAGAAACACTCTAACTACGTCTCGTGTTTCACCCTACACTTCTCTCGTGCTCTAACCATTTCCTGCGTGCTTTAGAACAGAGCAGAGCACAAGCAAGAAGAGGGAAGAAACACAAGACTTAGACAAGTGTTTATCTCTATATTTCTTTCGTGCTCTAGTCACTTTACTTTTATTATATAAAATCAATACCTGTTACTTCCTCGCAAATCCAACCTCTTTTTATGTTGCCCTTTATGGTGGTAAAAGTTCCTTTATATCCAACTGGAAATTCTTTATGAATCAGACGATAACAGTCGTATGGGTCAGGATTAAATCTCAGCCATTTGTCAATAGTCAGAGGTTTACCATTGATCCAAGTCCATAACTTCGCTGTTGAGTAATTTCTCTCCAAGCCTATATACCATTCGCCATTTTCACTGCCTACTCGGTTTTGAATTTCATTTGTGATAAATTCCCATTCTCGCTCTGTTTCCATTACCACAAGGGTTTTGCTTTTATAGTTACAGCTATYCCGTGCTTGTGGCCACGCCATACCATCTGTCTTGTTTTAAAAGCTATAACACGAACAAAGATTCACTCCTTCTAAAATGAAAAAAAATGCAAAGACTTTGTCTCAAGCTCTTCTAATAATCAACAAGAAAATGGTGCGTGAGTTAGCATGTTTTACTGAGTAAACTTTCTGATGTTAAAACTTACTGTAAGTTTTGATGAAGCTAAGGACTACAACCAATCACTTGACAGTTAGCTTGGTGGAGGACGGTCACCATCACCATCGTCATCGTCATTATTATCATCATCACCATCATCGTTCATCCATTAATCATTAAAGTAATTACCTATTCAATTAATAATTTATTTGATTATATATGTATCATTTCGTTATTCATTAGTCGTTTTAAACCATACCGAAAGATGACTACTTCAGAACTTGGTTATTTAGAGAAGAGTAAAAGAATTGCGGCGATAGTATCGTGACAACCTCGCTCCATGAGCACATTAGATAAATATTAGTAAACATCTGCTAGTAAGGCATGCGCTTTGCAAGTGCACAAAGATGATTAGGATAAAAGTCAATACCATGAATTTTATCCATCAAGCTCTCAAGCTTGACACCTGGGTTGATTATCCCACAACACGTCACACATTAGCTGCTGCATTAATTTGAATGCGACGTCAATTTGTCACGCCAGGTAAAAGAGCGATCGTTTATCAATATCTTAAATTTAACTGATTAAGCGAGCTTTCCCGAAGTACATGAGACATACAGCTTCATAGCGACGTCTGAATGAAAGCTGGCCAAGGTTACTAGATGATTTGACAAAGCTAGAGAAGACACGTTACGTATGTGGTATCACCTTAATCTCAATCGACAATCGTTGTAGAGTGCGCTGTGTGTCACAGTAAACTAAGTGAGAAGTCCTCTTTCCAAGCAATCAAAATACAATAGCTCACTAATAACTTTGTAAAGAGGTCATCTTGTTCGTAAAACTCGCAATTCAAAGCCTTGGATAAGTTTACGGACATCGCAATTGGTTAATGGTCTATTTATCACGTCAGGCTTACCAGCGATCGTTTCACGACGTGTTAAAAGCATTTAACCGAGCCGTACCGATGATCATGAAACATACAGCTTCAAAGCAGAACTAAATGAAAGCTGGTCCAGTTTTCAGTATGATATGACAATGTTCAAC